TCCGCGACGTAGTACGGAGACGGACGCACACGAAAGTGCGGGCACGTGTAAATACGTGCGGCGAGTGACGATGAAAATCACACCCGCTCACAAACTATTATAATAACAGATCGACGATCGACACAACTTTAAAATAATAATAAAATATATAATATCGTCGACCTGCGGCACAGTATACAAACTGGATTTGTCGATCGTCCCACAATGACAACGTGGTATAACAAAACTTATACGACACCCACGGTCACGACATACTATATCGGACGACGGTGCTGTTAATTGAACAGACAGACCGCCGGAYCGCTGGAGAACCGGTGGTCAGCGATGCCGGTCGCCAAAAGTTCGCGCAATCGCACTTCGGCGTCGGACAGCCAGCGGGGTGACCAGACAGGTGTCAAACGGCCACACTACTAGTCACAGGTGCGAAAAAAACGGCTCAGGTTCAAACAATTACAGTGTCATATATTTATAGTTTTTTTTCATCATGGAATCAAAATTATTCACTCCAGAAAATGATGAACAATTATTAGCACTTGTTCGTGATCACCCTGTTTTATATAAGTTAGTGACAAGAACTATAGAGACAATAACATAAAGGATAATGTTTGGAAAGAAATTTCATGTATCGGAAAAAGTGGTAAGAAAACAAAACAATAAATTAGTAGTTAAAAAAATAAAATAAAATACTAAACTATATCATTAGGTACTTTTTTAAATATTATTACATTTTTATACAAACTGTATGTGAAATGTTCTTAACTTGTCCTTGTCACTTGTTTTGTCTACCAACTACTAACTGATCCAGCCCCACTATTAAAATAATAGTTGAATGATACACGTATACGAAAAGCTTCATGTGACGAATTTCCTCCTACGGCATTAAAAGGCATCATGTTTTTCGGAAGTTCCATATTTGCATCATTTTCAATCGAATGATTTATACGTTCCTTTCGTAATAACTAATAAGTTATGAATAATACAAGCCGCCATCACCATCGTTTCTGGTAAAATAGTGATTGGAGTGAAAAATACTCTGAATGACTGACCATAGGCGCAATTTCAATATTTTACTTGGATGGGGGGGGGTAGACAAATGCATATAAAATAGTCTTGGGTTAGTCCACGTATAGTCGCGTAATAGTCCACACCCCTTAAGTATGTCTTGAAATTTTACTGAATTTATATAATATGTAAACTCAGTAATAATACTATTATGTTTCATTGATAAAATACGGTAATACGGTATTATACTCATTTATTTACTTACTTCTTTCCAACCAAGAAATAATATACCTAGGAGTTCTTCATATACCCATTGACAATAACACTAAAAAAACAGATCAAATGTTTTAAAACAATTAAAACAAGCAAAAAAAAAAAAAAATACATTTGAATATTAATATTGCATTTTATTATTAAAAAGAGAATCTACGATCTTTTTTAGAAAATTCAGCTAAAAGATTACCTGTACAAATGTTATTTGAAATTTCTCTTTCTATGTGTATCAAAGAGAGATTTGTAAATCTTTCTTGGCGCATAGAAGTTCTTAGCCATGTTTTAATTCTTCTCAATGCCGAGAATGATCGTTCACATGTCGCTGAACAGTTTTATCTAA